CACAACTCTGCCTCATCAATCTCTACCAAGCACAGCTTCCGGGTGACACTGATCACTAATCCCAGAGCCCACTAAACTCTTGTCAGCCCTGCAGTTCACCAGCTGATACAGCATACAGCAAGATATATGTATAATGTTGTGCATTTATGTTTTCTAGGTGATGAATGAGGTGTCCTGACATTTTTCTTTTCAACAGAATGGACATGTGCTGTATAATAATCACTATTACAATGTTTACAAATACTTATGGTTAATAATCACACTGAAACATCCTATAGAGAGAGGGTTTTTGGGAATAGGGATGTGGAGAAGACATAATGACCATTAATACCTCTTGAAGGGAAATAAGTCTGTAAAATAAACACTGGAAATGCAGAATGTAAGAGAACCAGTCACCTCTGGAGATGGAGGTCCAGTAGGAGTCTGTGTCGCTGTGTGCTGGAAACATGAGAGTGCACCAGCAGAAGTCTCTGAAACAGTCAGTGTCAGGATCCGAGAGGAAGAGCGCAGGTCTTTTAGGGGTATTTCCATGTAGTGGCTTTGGAAAAGGTAAGGAATGAAGGGAATCAAAAATAAAAAACAGAAAATGTCTCTTGCAGGAGTGCTCCCCCCCAATCCAAGAGCTTCGGGGTCCAATGCTCCAGCGCAGTGCAGTTCCAGATCAGTCCCCCTACCCAGGATGCCTTCCCACTGCCCCTCACTGGAGCGTCTTTCCTGCACATTACAATGGACAGCGCCAGCAAACACGCCAACGCTGACAAGGTAAGCTCAGGTCCCACGAGGGCAAAACAGCGCTCACTAAGCTGTTGCCCAGTGCGATCCCACCATGCTGTGGGTAAGGAAGGTGTTGAAGGTTACTGCCGTGCAATCCCAACTGCAACATACATGTGGATTATTCATTTAACAGACCGAGGCCTTGTGAACAGCCTTACAGAAACGACAAAGGCAGTTTGTTGGCGCCTCACTCGCTATATAAAGGTACTCTAGATGAGTGCTCTTGGGGTTTGCGGTCCAGGTGTCAGTAGTTTAATTCTGCGTTGCGCTGCTACCTCAGTATTAGCCAGTGTGCCGGTGACACGGGCGATGGGCTTGGTCAGCCGGGGTTTCTCCCAGTCCGTGGTGGAAACAGGGATGCCTGTCACTTCCTAGGCACCTGAAGGGTGACAGTGATGTCAATAAGAGAAGCATCGCTCATCCAATCGGCACCAGCTGTCCTCTAAGGCACTCGGGGGGCCTGTCTGCCGGTCTTCATGCTCCCCATGCTGAACGACAGCCTGTGCTTTGAGTTGAAATGTAGACGAGTCACAACAATGCAGGTGGGAAAAATAAGTGTTCAGGAAAAAAAGGCCCATTATATATGGATTCAATTATACTTTTAAGTGAATTTCGAAGGAAGGCCGTAAAATACACTCGTCACTGAGGAGCATTGCTGCCTGCCTCACAGTGCTTTGAGTTCAGTTCCGGACCTGGGGTGCTGTCTGCATGGAGTTTGTATGTTCTCCCCATGTTTGCGTGTGTTCCCTCCAGGTGCTCGGATTTCCCCCCACGGTCCAAAGACTTACTGATAGATTAATTGGCATCTGGGAAAAGTGGCCCTGGTGTGAGTGTGTGCGTGTTTGCGTCAGTGTGTGTCTGCCCTGCGATGGACTGTCGTCCCGTTGCTTGCTGGGACAGGCTCCAGCTCCCCCAAGACTCTCTACTGAATAAAAATATTAGATAATTGATGGATGGAGAGCCAAACACGAGAACATAAAAATGGCTCGAATGGACACCCTAATGAAACCATTCTCTTCCTTGCAGCTCTCGGTGACGTATTATGGCAAGGACAAAGAGGAGCTGGGGAAGGCCATCCTTCACCTTACTGCCATTGGTAAGCTGGCACACTGTGGCCTGGACACCCATCCAGCAATGTGGCAAGAACTGGGTTTCACAGATCAGCAGAAAATGGCTTTTCCCTACTGCCAAGCAGCTGTCAGATCGTAAGAAGGGCACAG